CAGCTCGCATGCTTCAAGCGATCGATGAATTTGGCAATTATCTCTATAGATACTCTCTAATATTTCCAAAGGTTAATAATACATATTTCAGACTTCTTAGTAACTATTCTAAGCCAACAGAAAGTAAGCCCGGTTATAACTTGCAACAAACCAAAATAATTGATATTACTGAGCATATGTATGCCGATAAGGCAGAACGATTACATATGGTTCTTGGTCCGCCAGGTAAGACACAAAATGTCACTATTTATTGATTCGACTGATGTTCTTGCATCTCTCTGTTCGTACAGGTACTGGAAAAAGTACAACCATCGCTGGAATAGTTCAATATTTATTATTGAATAATCCATTAGACAGACAGAAAATACTGATATGTACACCTTCGAATAATGCGTGTGACGAATTATCACGTCGTATACTTCAAATATTACCTCAAGATCAAAGGCCCGGTAGAGTAAATCGAGGTTATTTTTATGAAATAATCCTGAATGACTGATGTAGGTCGACATACCCTCGTTCGCATCGGTTTTCGACCACCGAATGATGAAGAACTCTGTAATCACTTTCTTAGTTTTATCATACTTGATAAAATTTTTCGACACCTTAAAACCGAGTCCGACTTAGAATCTGTGAATATAAGCGAGTATCAAAAAGAAGTATTAGAAAATGCTCGAGTAATTGTTTCCACATTAAACAATTGTGCCAGTTCGCGGCTACTTTCACTTATTGGTAAAGTTGGCTTCGTAATTATTGATGAAGGTAAACGCAAATATATGTGTATATTTTGATTAGAATCATAATGACATAAAAATACATTGTTTCGTATTCTAGCCACCCAAGGTTTGCTGGCAGATACTATGATCCCTCTACGATTTAATTGTTCAAAAATGATTCTTGTTGGAGACCCAAAGCAACTACCGCCGACAGTGATTAGCAGGGTTGCTGGAAGCAACGGTCTCGAAATATCGTTGTATGAACGTCTATATAAGGTTCAGTCGGAAAGCAGTAGACTCACGGAACTA